GATTAACGAAGCCAGTCCCTCGGAGTTAGTGTATATCGGCAGCCTGGTAAGTGGACTACCGCGGAAGCCACAGTCTTCGGTGGCATCCACTTCACCAGCAGTTTCGAAGGAGGCAGGAGGCGACGAGGAAGCCAGTAAGCTGGCCATCCTCGGAACAGAGGCGGATCTGCTGCGCGATGCGCTTCGCCTGCACATTATGAGCCGTCTGGTTGAACTGGAGACTCTCGGTCTGCTGCCTCTGATTCGTCTGGGCTACGACTTTGGCGCCGAAATGACCACTTCCACCGACAAGCTGCGTTTCCTAGGCACCCTTGAAACGGTCATCTCTACTCGGCCAAGAGAACAAAACCTCTTCACCCTCGGCTTACTCTTCTACACGATGCAGAAGATGAACACGTATCGCCCCGGTCTCGTACGCAGGTATATTTCCGTCACCGATGTAGCCATACGCCTGACCGTGTTTTCATGTTATTCTCCTTTCTTACTATTTTGCACCGCGAAAACTGAAGGGTAGTGTTGCTTAATTGTATTTGATCAATGAAAAGACTACCGACTTATCGAACCGCATGGTAATAGGACTCATACCAGCCTTTCGTGTTAAACCAAATTCCGAGTGGTGACTTACTTCATTTTCAGTTGGCCCAATTGTGAAACATTCGTGGCCTCGGTAGGATTCGAACCCGAATCAGCAGGGAGGGCTTTAGTACAAACCAAATGCTCTACCAAGTGGGCTCCGTTATGGCGGATTCCATAAGAGCAGTAGGTTGGGCGGTTAAATCGACCCAAGTGTGATTAAATTCAAGCTTCTCGACGTGCTTTTGTAGCTCAATTAGTAGAGCGTTGACTGTACAAAAGCCTTCCCCTTGCTGGTGTTGGTTTGAATCCAACGCAGGCTACGAAGTTTTCACAATTTAGTCAACTGAATCCTTCAAATCTGCCAAACCGCCCTTATAATTACTTCGATGTGTCCAATCACTCCGTCCGCAGCATCTTCACCGTGATGGCGACATGGAAGCATATCATAAACACGCTAGCACTTGGCTCCATTTTTTTTAAAATTAACATTGTTAGACCATTTTTTATGCTAGCGTTAAGTCTACTCCCGTTATCTTGATCCTGTGCCACCAAACCACTCAGTGTCCCCCAGAAAAAAGGTAAATTCGACTTTATATGGGCGAAATTATTGAAAAAAGGGGAAAGGCGGGTTACTAAAAACGTAAAAGTAGGTCATTCTCATAAGTTAAAGGCGAAAAAGGACCTCTAAAGACAGTCCTGCCGTTTTTTTGTTTGTAACTGTCAACTGTTGTGACCCTTATACTTCGATTACTTCCACCACCCAGGCACAGACATCAAAAACAAGGCCATAGAAACCTTTTCCTACTGACCGTTCTCTTTTTTGTCTTCCTAACGATTCCCCACACAGATGTCTTGGCCAAATCCGACGAAAACTCCACCTGACTATCAACTATCCCCAGACCGACCAGAGTGCTTGGCTTTCCAGTTCCCTTGCGGCACTGGCCAACCTAGCTGTTGGTGGTCCGCTCTCCGAGCACTTCTCCTCCTCCCTCTA